TTTTTTTTTTTTTTTTTTTATTGAAATTTTTAATTCGACCGATAGACTGTGTTTCTATAAAAATTCTACGAGCGTAGTTCGGGCAGAGTTTCTTTAAAAAAGAAAAGGGACCGATCGAGTTCGATCTCTGCGTGTCATCAACTTCACCGCTCATGTCGATTCTACCTGCAAGAATTTGAGAAACGCTGTTGTAGATCAAGCCCGACACGGGATTTCAAGTTACGCTTGCGCAGCCAGTCCTTCTGAATGACGTTTTTACGTCGAACGTACGCGCATGCATGTACATATGTGTTGCATTAAATACACCGCGCCTCGTCGTGTGGCGGCGTGCACCTACACATTGCGTGCAACCTTTGCAGAGACACTCTGTAACACACAAACTGCGTGTATATATCACCCTCTCCTCTCTCGCCACCCCCTCGCGCGCGAGCCTCATGAATAGTACCACTTCCGAGTTGAACTTCCTTCCGAGTAAACAATGCCGGCAGAACGATTACTATCCTACGAGCACACCCATCATCCATTTTCCACACTTTTCATTACATCACACGCGACGAATTCGATCCGTGAATTGTCCCTCGTAATGCAGATCGAATCGATCGTTCGATTTTTAGTACGTTGATCCCCAACGTTTTGTTGGCGAGTAGCTAAGCAGCCTGAGAGCGAAGAGAAGAAGAGTGGGGCAAAGCTTGTCGCAAATTGGGGATGTTACGAGACAAAATTTTACAGTATAATCTAACCGATTATGTTTAGTTTATTATTATACTGTTTATTATTGCGTCGAAATCATTGCAGATAGTTTAATTTGTATAATTTGAGTTCGTACAACACGAGCCTACACGAGTGATTTTCCGTTCTTAGCTCAGATTCCAACAAATCGATTCAAGCAACGAGAGTTTTTATTATTTAATTCGACTGAAATAAATGGAATTTATGTAAACGAAGTTCTACTATGAACACTGACAATGAAAACCAAGGCTTTGTCAATTTCTCGTCTTTAGTTTGTATTTGAATAGTTAAAATTTGCTCCGCAAAGTATTCATCATATTATGCGCAACTATATCTTGTAATTGAGATTGCTTTTAAGGCAAAATAATTTCAAACTTGAGATTCTTTAATAATAAAAATTTTTTTTGTTAATTTTTTATAGACTGTATTTGTAAATAAATGGTCTAATGTATATTTAATTTGCGTTTGAGAAACAAAAAGATCTTTTTATAGTGTATTCGTCATTTAAATTGTACAACTGGCGATTAAATTTCTCTCTGAAACAAAATATTCTTTTTGATGATAAAAATGTGATCTGTCGATAAAATAAAGATTTTGTCAACAAAAATTCAGCTGTACACATTTGCCAAGGAACATTTTCACAGCTTTCACAAAAATTAGTTTTAGAGAACCAGTCAATTTTCACTCTTAAATTAAGCCAGAATATTACTTTTTGTATAAATTCAGTTTGATATGAGAGACATAAAAATTGGCTGTTTCGCACTATATCATTAAAATAATTATTTACGTTCACATTGAAATTCGTTTGTTTTTGAAGCAAAGCGTTAACATACAGCTTCAATGTTAAATCCCTTAATCTATCAATTCATGTACGTGTAAGTATAAACCATTCTATATAATACGCGATACAATGGATTTAATGATAGATCAGAATAATATTGCACAATAGTTCACTAATTAATCACACTGGCGAATCGAACTGTGTGAGAGATGTAACGAGATATACAAATTATAGATGTG